AAACATACGCGGGAAAAACACGTGCTTGTCTCATAAGGGGTGGTAATTTACGCGAACACGTGTTTTGTTCGTTAGGGGCAAGAAAGCATTGGATTCTGTTTTTTGGCCCAAAGCATCGACCTGGATCCGGGGTGTTTGCTTTTCCTCGGGCTGGTTCATTTTTAGTTGGTTGGTGGGTTGGTTGGTTGGTTTAGTTGGTTGGTTGGTTGGTTGGTTGGTTGGTTGGTTGGTTGGTTGGTTGGTTGGTTGGTTGGTTGGTTGGTTGGTTGGTTGGTTGTTTGGTTGGTTGGTTGGTTGGCCTCCTGTAAGGGGGGTCCATTGTGGGATCGGAGGTTCGGTATGGTGACGGGCGTACGTTGACTTCCATTGGCTGAAAAATGAATATGTGTTATTATCCCTTGTTGGTTTGACAGGGAAACGATTTCACTGCTGGAAAGATCCTCTCATTTTTCCAGGGGGTTTGAAGAGTTTGTTTTGCCCTGAAAGTCCCGCTGCCACCCAGGCAATATGCTTTTCTTGTGACTGGGCGGGGGTGTTTCTCTTTGGGCGCTTTTTTTTCTTCCACTTAAGCAACTGGTCGACCCCAAAGCCCGCAAAGGTACTTTTTTTGTCTGCGGCAGCTGGAAAATGACATGCAACGTGTTTGTTCAGTTCAGGCCAATTCGCATCAGTTCAGTGCGGAGAGAATCCGTTTGCGGGAGGACCTACCGGAGCTGGACTGAGCAATTCGAAATTCGAGGTTCACCGAAAGCGCCGAAGTCCCGACGTATCACCAGCAACACCCGTGAAGGTGAAGGTTAGACGCAGTCCCAGCCAAAAATATAGTTGCGGCCGCCTTTTAGTGTACTTGCATGGATTTGGGTAGACCATGTTGGTACTTTGAGTGTGGCTCATATTCTGGTGTACCCCACCCCCTGTTGGACGGGGAATTTTGACTGGAGATCTCCATTTATGGTAACCCATGCTTTTCTTTTGTGGGGATAACGAGCTATATATTTCTGGTGAGGGAGAGTTGCAGTCGACATCGTAAGCATTCCGTGGGCCTCACAGCCACTCGTGAACTTGCTGGTACTCATGCACCGACACCAGTCGATTGCAAAAAATATGTTACAGATGTTCTCACAAGGGCACATCCGCCTGATATGTGTTTATTCAAGTGTATTGCACAGATGATATTTATCTTGAGGTGTTCTACAGGATGGGCTTGCTTTTTCCTTTGCGCTTTCGGCACACAGCCACTGGCCTTCCTATGCAGAGCTGCGCCGTGTGTACAGTCGCGGTAGGGGAAGAAGCTTAGCAGCTTGCGCGTGTCAAAATGTCAGCGACTGTTGGGCTTGGCTTTGCAGAGCTGTGGCCACTTCAGAAGGTGGTCCCACTACATTTGTTTGCTTAAAGTTTACTCCCCTGTTGGTTTTAGAGGGAATCTATCACTACTGGCTTTGTGATTTCATGTGCCTACTTTCTGGCAAGCTCGCCGATTCGGGGGTATAATGAGTGAAAGCCATGACAAATGCCCTTTACTTGGGATCCCTGACTGCAGCTTTTGGAAGTAGAGTAAAACATGCAGATTGCATGTGTTGTTCAATCAGGAAACTGTGGGTTTTAGAGGCGCCAAACCAAACGAGACATGGCTATGATGACCTCCCATCGAAGAGACATATTCGAAAGGTCCACCATACGCCTGCCTTTTGCCTTTGGCTTGTGAGGATCTAAGGGTACACATCCTTCTTGGGCAGGGCTAGGGTGATGGGACAGCAACCCAATCAACCTATCCCGTTTCCTTTTCAGGTTCAACAAGCCACACACAAAAAAGAAACCGTTTGGACTTCCACCAGTGACAATTTTGTCAGAGCCCAGCAAAAATTGTAACTTTTAAATCGCCAACTCAGTACACAAACATGGGATTGAGGTGCACCTCAGTTCAGGGTTAGCCCTGTGGCCCTGAGTTGAGTTCGCTAAAATGGCCAAGCAACCAGGCCTTTCTCTCACGCGCGACTGAGTTCATAAACTTTAGTCACCTTTTTGGGTTTGGTTGCCATTCCGCAAATCACAGGTCCGGGGGATTTCCACTAAACCCCCCAAAAGTTGTTCACTTTTTGCAGGGGGGTCGTTGCAGCAACCAAGTTGTTTGGCCGATCAGCACAGGAAGCGAGTTCTCAGACGGTCCCAGGACTCGGGCCTTCGCCAGGTGCAACGCTTGCGGGCCACGGTCCACGAGCTGAAATCTCAGCAGCAGAGCAGCGCCTCGTCTCAAAGTGGCATAGGTGCATGCTAAGCTTTGCTGGGTGTTCTTAAAAAACAAAGCAAAAAAACGCTTTGGGTTCGTGTGCAGAAGCAGCTTTCATTTTTTTAAATGCAACGCCAATGGGATTTGGAAACGGATGTTTGAATTTTGACTTGCTGAAACTTGGTGGATTTTCAGAGTTGGACCCACTACAAGTTATTCATTTTCTGCAGAGGGGGTCAACACCGACCAAGCCAATAGCCCTGACGGGTCCCCTCAGGACAATCTGATCCCGCCCGGAAGAACAGGTGCGATCGGTGGCAGGGGTCATTTGCCGAGTCTCTTCCAAGGGAAACCAAAAAGGGCCTCGGTTCCATTTGCGGGGACCTTGGCCCTGGATCCCGGGCATTTCTCAAAGATGAGGGACATGCAGAGGTCTCCCGGATCCTTGTCCGCAGCAGCTGGCCGGAAAGGGGTACTCGAAAGCCAAGTTGCAGAGAGAATGTGTGCAAATGCCGACCCCGGAATTGGGGCTGTTCCCCTCCAAAAATGCTATGAATCCGACACTAAAAAATGCCAAAAGGGGACATCCCCCCAATCAAAGTCAACCAGGGAGTTCCCTTAGATCCGAGTCCCATTCTGACCTTAGTTGTATTATCCTACCGTTGCTAGGGTGCTGAGTGACAGGCTGAGGGAGCGAGTTTCAGCTTTCGCTACCTTTCTTCGTCGCTTAAGTCTCAAAAGGCGCAAATGGTTTCAGATTAAGTGTGACACAGTCTGAAACTGTTCGGGTTGTTCAACTTTTTGCTTGTGTTGGTAGGTTTTTGCCCCAATCGTTTCTGATGTGTTCTACCCCGGATGAAGAAAGATCGGGGGTTCCACCCGTTGAGTGGGGATTCAACCTTTCGCGGTTGTCTTGCCAGCGATGTCCCGTACTGGTTCTGTGGGATGAGCAAATGAGCAGGGGATGACCATTTGCGACTTACGAGCAAACAAGCAAAGTGGAGGTGTCCATTCACCAGGCAGTACAGAAGCGAGGTGATTTGGGATGAACGGGTATCGGCATGGGGGAAGGCTATCGCAGCAGATGGAAAGGGATCAAACACATTGATCCCAGGGATGACGCTGTCCATATTGTTGATTTTGGGTGGGGGCCGTCTATGGATGTCCAACGCTTGGACACTGAGGCAGATTGAGGCCGAAGCATGAAACATTTGACCTTTTATCAACACTTAGTGCGCGAGTGGTGCAGATTCTACCTTGTGTCAGACTCGGGTTTGCTTTTTGTTTGCTCGTGTCCATCTCAATGAGACCCTAAGATCAGGAGAGGCATCACCCCCCACCTCCAAGACCAGGCTGGCGGGATCAGGGGGTTATCCAAGCACTTCTGTGATACTTTTGGGAATCGTCCCTGGGGTTCGGCTTTTCGTTGTCCAAGACCCCCGAAGATTCCGCAGCAAATTCGCCGCGGGCCTAAGGCCTGCGCTCCGTTGAGCAGGAGCTCCGCGACAGCCAGGACCTGCGTGGATTGGGTGTCGGGTATCCCCATCCTTTGTTGGGCGTGGGTCAAAAATAGGTACCCCAAATGGAACCCCGGAAAATGGAAACAAGAACTACGACCAGGTCGTCCAGTAGCGCCCTTTTGCCAGCTTTTTTGGTTGGGAGGGTTCCCCTACTAAAATAGACGACAGAACAGAAAAAAGTCGGGCACGAGGACCTAGTTGACTAAAACCTGAGGATTTTTTCTGGTGCTTCAATTTCGACCCAGACCCAGGTGCTGAAAACGCGGCTCGACCGCATCTGACATTTTGGGGTCCCTGCGTTGGTCCATCTTTAATGGTACCGTTTTTGGGTTCACCGCCCATTTTGGAACTTACTTTTGTGGTTGGATTGGGCTGGTTTTAACTGGGGGTACGATTTGGATTTTGACCTATGGCCATTTTGCGTCATGGCCCCAAAAAGTGACCACCTTGTATTTCCAGGTCCCTTGAGCAGCCGAGTTTGGTGTTTTTTTCTGCTTCTTAGTGAAGGTTCTCCAAAACCCAGATCCGCTGTATGGAAGGGAATCAAGAGAGGTGCTGTTGAGTTTTTGCCCCCACAAGTAGTCATGGCCCCAAAAGGTTTCCAGGCCCGAAGAAGCGAGCATTTCAAGAGCCCAGCAATCTGGCGAATTGGTGATTTTGAGAGGTACCCTGCTTCCAGGGGATGCGGAAGACAGTTTTTTCAGGAAAAGGCCCCGTTCCACTTCCATGACAAGATAGGAATGAGGGTACGGAGACGGTCACCAGCTTGAGAGAGGTATTTTGCTTATGGATTTGGAGGACCCCCGTTTGGGTAGTGCTAAGGACAGCCTTGGTTTTTGCACACGCACACGCACAGCCTTGCCAGGTCTTAGTTTCGAAACCATGGAGCCTTTACAGGGGGGTCCTTGGAGGGCATTGAGCCAAAAGCGGCTGTATTTGAGGGGCTGGGATGCCAAACTTGTAAGGAATCCCCTTGTTGCCTTCTTGCGATCGACATGCGGCCCTTTGCTACTCCGCCAATGAGAGGAAGAAATGGTTGGCATCTTTAGCGTGTCTTGTAAATTATGAATTGTATATCATGTGAACCGTACATTTTTTGAGTGAGCAAGTCTCCCGATGCCAATACCATCGATTCTTTGCTTATTAGTTAAGTTCCGTGTGAGTCTGTGATCGGGACAACTGTTTTTGTAAGTATCTGGACTTGATCCTTGGAGAGGCAATTTTTGTGGTTAAGAACAAGACGTTTGGGGCAA